ATCTGTGAGGTTTCAGTATGTAGCTATCCCCACTCAGAGCGTCTATGTGTCTGGCAAACTCAAAAACCAATCCATCAGTGAGGTTTCAATATGCAGCTATCCCCACTCAGCGGGTCTAAGCACCAGGGGGGGGGCGAAAATACAAACGAAGAGCGAGAGCGGGAGTAGAAGGAGGGTGCAAAATCAGACCGACTGCGAGGCTGTGCATCAGCCCCCCTGTCGTGTTTGTTTGCTGGGGCTGATGTGGCCTCTTCGTTGTTGTTTTTCCGTCCCTCACTTTCTTTATTTAGGTCTTCTTGCCTGCACGCAGGCAAACTTCAGCCAATTTTCACGTGTGTTTCATCACTTCCAACCATCGCATCAGAAAACCAGAGCCAAATTTAGTTCGGCCACACAAACTGGACGAGAAATAATTATGATTTCCGGGCAAGTGCACGATGATTTCTGGGCAAGTTCACGCAATATTGTGCAAAGCTTTGCCGCTCGAGGCACGGAACTATGGACCACTCTCCAGAAAACCGTTGAAAATGGGGGTTTACAGCTGATCGCCAAATCGCCGATTTTGGCGTCCACAGACAAAGATCGACGGCGATATTACAGCCGAAGTAAAAACAACACCTCAGCTATGCACCCTCTGAGAGCGGCAGACCCGTTGCTGGTAACTAACCTGGGCTTGGTGCGGCGGCTGGACCGAGTTGCTCCGCGTGTTGGAGCTCTGACGCAAGGCGGACTCGGTTCTACGCACAGAAAGCAAACGAACGCGCACAACTTGCACCGACAGCCCTCCAACGAGTAGCACAACAGTATACCGAGGTTGAATTCTGTCTGGTGCTCACGACGAGGCTCCGACGGGTCTGTGAACACGCAACCTGCTGTCACCTGTCCGGGGGGGGGTTGAGGGGGGTAGCATAAAACGACGGGGTACTATCTGCGAAGTCCCGGCGTATATTGGCTGTTTCAGTGGCTACTCTTGCATTACTGCTGTACCAGTCTAGCGAAGGATATTAATAGAGTAGCTAGGCATGGGATTGCTGGTGGCTGCCGCCAGACGGGTTCGTGGTGCAGCATGCCTGGCTATCTCGAAGGATGCCTCCAGCAGGCACATGTCCGGTCTTCCGCCACCGTACACCCCAGGTGACACCCGAAAGGGTATCAGTGTTGTCGGCGCTGGCAGGATGGGGATGATCAGGGCGGAGGGCATCATCGCCAACCCAGGCACGCGATTAGTGTCTGTTGTGGATCCCAATAGGGAGAAGGCGACAGCGCTGGCGGAGAGTTCGAATGTCCCCGCCTTCTGGTGAGGACTGGACTGAAGATATTTTTCCATAACATAGCCAGCCATTTGTCCGTAGTCCGTACAGCGTGGCCAAAGCCACCAAGATGTGTACCGTGTGTTCTACGATCGTACGCCCTGGCCTTTCAGTCTGTGTCAGCACTACAGCGAGAGAAACACGAGAGTCAGATAGACACCCGCTGTTGTTGGCCGCGGCGGCTAACGAGCGTGCAGGCCCGCTCAAGTGCTGTACTTCACTTACAAGTCGTCAACTTCAACATTGCTGTTACACTTTGTTGTAGGGTGGTCTCCCGGATGGAAAAGTTGGAACCGGGTACCCGTTGGGGTCCCCGAGGTTGTACCCGGGTACCCGTCCGGGTACCCGGGTATCATATGATACCCGGGAAAAAAATGATACCATGGTACCCGGAACCATGGACCACCCCGAAACAATGCGTGATGCGTGTATGTCACGCATGTGTGAACGCATTCAATGGCGGTCTAGTGCGGTAGAAGAGAAATCGCTTTCCAGAGTACGGGGGAGACCCAGCAGCAGTTGCAGCACGCGCCTCCACAGAGCTGCCGGTTCTCTCATCTTAATGTTATTACCATTGCGGTTGTTTGCACGCGGTCTGCACGACGGTAGTTTGTTGGTGCCATGGCCTACAACAGCTAGGAACACTGCAGGGTACACAAGCGACGATGAAAGAGTGCGCGAGAGCTCGCCGACGTCCTCGATCGTTACACACACAAAAAAAAAAAAGAAACGCACCAACTACCACATTTGGACCACTACTCCCCGCTTGGGCACCCCTCACAGAGTAGCTATGACAGAGCGCAACTGGATCATGCATTGTCGCTGAAGTCACGTCGGCCGCGAATGAAAGACGTGACAAAGGAAACAAGTAGGGTTTAGTACTTGTCGAGGACACCCGCCGCAACAGCTCCACGTAAGGTGACGAGCTGGGCTACTCTGTTTCCGGCGAGGAGCGAACGCTGCTTGGTCAAAGTGAGCCCGGCCTTGGAAAACAGACGCTCTGATGCCGCCGACGACGCCGGCACGCACAGGATACGATGAGAAAGTTCACGCAGTAGCGGGAAGGTAGCTTTGTGCTGGTCCCACCACGTCAACGGGTTCCCGTCGGGGTTCATGGACGTAACACCACGGTACCGGAGGACTTCTGATTTCATCTGGGCGTCGTACTCCTCCTTCCGCCTGGATCGAGGAGTACAGGGCTCCGGTGGGTGGTCGTAGTTGCCCCATGCCATCCCTACCTGTTCGTCCAATAGCTCCTCCTGGCGCGATAACGACAAAAAACGGGGGAATTTCAGAATGATGCCGGCGGTTAGATCAGGTTCACATCAGCAACTTCACATACGCCAATTTGTTGCCAAAATGTTGGTGAAACGTGAAGCCCATGGATATCCGGGAGGTGAATCACAATATCAGCACAAACTCCAAAATAACGTACATCAATGTACTCTTCGCCGTCGTCGAGCTGCCAAACTTGGGCGAAGATGTTCTTCTTCGGTTTGGGGGCAGCCGCTTCAAGGTCATTGCCCCCAACCACGTCTTGAGTATCCTCGCCGCTGCTGGCACTATCATCGGCCGCGTCATCGGCCCCGAATTCCGTCTGGAGCTTCTCCGCGATGAGTTGCTCCCCTAGGCATTCAATGATGTTGGCAGCCTTCTGCTGGATGCTGAAAGGGATACGGGCAAAGTCTTTCGCCCTGGGGTCAAGGAAAGCGGCGGCTAGATGCAGCTTCGTGCATCCTGACGTTCCAGGCTCGTGGTCGAACGGGTCCAGCTTGAACCTTGTTTGAATTGAAACACAGAGGACACACATAATTTGTACGGTGGGGGGGGGCAAACGCACGATGATGACAACGAATATGTTTTTTGTACACGAGACGTGGCATGGATCGGCACAAAAGTACCACCACAACACAGCCGGCAACAAACAACAAAGTCCATCACGACATAGGGCAACAACATAACGGCAGCAAACAGATGTAACAATCCGAAAAAGTGGTAGCGAGCTGGTCAGCGGCAAAACATCCAACTCTACCCCGCACGATGTAGCACCTGCTGTCGAAGTCCGTCTTCATGTCGCGCGCCGGAGCCGCGATGCCGGGGTTGGCGTGGGCGGTAAGCTTGCCGATCTTGTGCTGCAGAAACGCGACCATGCCTAGCACGGACCCGACGGTGACGTACTTGTCGGCCTCCATCCCCGCTGTCACTGCAGCGAACGGCTCGAGGAGTTGGAGGAGTATCTCCAGCAGGTCCCAGTCGAGACCAGCGAGCAACTCCGGGCACGGCGACTCGTTCTTCATGGCCAGGGCTTGGAGAGCCTTCTTGTTCGTCAGGACGCTCCTGATGGTAGTCACCTCCGACCACCACCTGGTCTCCACGTGCTTCTGGAGGACGACGTACTCCACCTTCAGCCAATCTGCGGTTTCCTTGAGTAGTTGGGTGCTCTGCAACAAGTATCATAAGGGCGAGAAGGCACACGACGAGCGGTGTCACCAAAATGAAACCTACAAACTTAGGAGCTACGCGCGATCGCCGGGAGGCTCTTACGCTGCCCGCTAAATGATCAACAACATCTTTGCAACCCTGGAACAAGCGAGCGCTTACAAAGAAAGGTGAAGGGTTAGACCAGCAGGAGCTCAAACCCCGTGACAGGGTGCACGCGTGGACGGCCCAACGCGCCGCACATCATGCATACAGCTGACCTTCGGAGACTTGTTGAACTTGGAGACGATGGCGTTGCACCGCTGAAGCGTGTCCTTCACACCTGACTTGAAGACGTCCGGTCCAGAGCCCCCGCCTCCACCTCCAGCGGATGTGCCGCCGCCTGCACCCGCGGCACCTCCTGCGTTGGTACCAGGTGGTGCTCCTCCACCTCCCGCGGCAGGTCCCGCGTTGATTCCAGCGGGTGCGCCACCACCGCTGCTGCTGCCGCTGCCACTGCCACTGCCGCCGTCGCCGCTGCCGTTGCCGCTGCCGCTGCCGTTGCCGTTGCCGCTGCTGCCCTTCACCTTCTGGAGACCCAGGAAGCGCTGTATGGACAGCTGGATGGAGTGGCAGAAGCAAGACAGTCTGAGGATGTTGCTGTCGTCACTGGCGTCGAGCTGGTTCCCCGCTCTGATCATGTTCGACGCGTTGTCCATGGTGATACCGGTGCACTTCTTCGGGTCAAGACCCGCGTCGGTCAGGATGCTCTTGAGCTCCTTCGCTATGTTCTCGCCGCTGTGTGTGACGTTGAACGGCCGGCAAGCGAGGTCGATGGTGCGCAGTGTCTCCCCGTCCACAAAGTGGATGGTGAAGGAGATGAACATCTTCCTATGGAGACCCGTCCAAATGTCCGTGGAGCCACCGAAGAACTTGTCGCCCACCACCTTGACTATCTCCACCTTCGCGGCAGCCTGAAGACACGGTCGGTACGTCGGTGAGGGGGAGGTGGAATAGGACTGTTGTGTACTGCGTGTGTGATTGGCCAAAGCATTTCATGCTTTCACGACATCGGCGCCGCGCCGTCTCTCTCCTCCGCTTTCGACGCAAACCTAGTGATCGTAACGACTAACCCTATCCAAACACTATACACCCATAATGCAGAAAGGTGAAAGGGCCGCGAGGCCAGGTGCAGTTCGGAACGTGTTTCGTTTTCCACCCTGATGTACACTAGTGCATCTGTGGTATGTCACTCACCTCCATCTTGTTCATCTCCTCGTAGATCATGCACCGCGATGTCGTTTTGACGTTCGGGGATATGGACGCAATCATCCTCCGAAACCAGGGGTTCTCAAGGCTCCGGAGCGACTGCAAAGAGTAACATCATGAAGCGTTTCGAAGTCCAGGCGGTGGGGCGAGCATAAATATGCAGTGACGTTGAACCTCTCCAACATCAAACGCCTGAGTGGACCACTAGCTTTTCAAAGGAGAATGACTGTTCCGGAGGTTTCGTCTAATTTCTACAGCAGCAAGTATTCAACTCGTCCCTACATGATGTACATAAATATACGATCCAAAAATGACAACATGAGTTGGTGAGAACACTTTAAATATGAATATACTCCTACAGCAGTAGTACAAAATACATACAAACGGAGAAGGAGTATAACACATACTTTGAAAAAAAAAAAAATGTGCGTATCCAACACGTACCGAGTAAGTCATGAGCATCCAGAAGATGGACTCGCGAAGGAAGTTAGGTGCAACGATAACCTTGCCGTCCAGACGCTGCTGGCCCTTGGTCCCGCCCGACCCCTCCTGACGAGACGCCATCACCCCGCCGTGAGATCCGTTCATGTGCTTGTGCATGGCGGAGGTGCTGCCGCCAGCAACCCCCACACGCCCTACAAAACGTCCCTTATGTTTTGCTCCACGAGGGCAGATCTTGCAAAACGCAAAGTTGTTGTCCGCTGGGTCAAGCTTGAAGTCCGCCCAGATGGAGGCACTCTTTGATGACTTGGCCTTGGCGCTGGAGCTCGCTCGGGCCTTTTTGGCGGGAGGTTCGGCCGCGGCTGGCTGAGCTGCAGTCCTGGCAGCGCCACGAGGTGGCACCACCTCCACGTCGCTGTCACTGCTACTTTCGCTGCTGCTGCTGCCATCATCATCATATTCGCTACTATCGCCAGGGTTGGCAGCTTCCTCCTCTTCTTCCTCTCCTTCCTCTTCTTCCTCTTCCTCCTCTTCCTCCTGTTCTGGCGCAGAAGGCGCAGCACGTCGTGCTGAACGAGCGGCACCTCGCGTGTTGTGGCGCACGTTGCCGCTTGCACAGCCCGTGGTCCGGCGCGCTTGCGATTGGGGCGGCGCCACCGTTGAGGTTGCTACACCGCGGGAGACCGCGCGATTACTCATGGTACTAAAAGCTTGTAGGGGTATGCTGTTGCTGGTGGGTTGCTCACAGGTAGGGGTATGCTGTATGCTGTTGCTAGAACGCTAGAACGCTCAAATTCAAAATCTCACCGGGGCGCCGTATATCGAAATATNAGCCCGTGGTCTCAAAACCCGGCACATACGACGCCGCGGGAAAACAAAGGCACAAAAATAGGCACAAACCACTCGGAAAAAGAAAACACTGGAGGCCGCCAAAGAAACATGTTGTGGGTGTAATTTCGTGTGGTCAGAAGGTACAGTATCACATCATCGTATATTCGGGATTTGGCTCAGGCCTGCACACTGCAAACCTTGGTTGCCCCCGCAGGTCACTGGAGGACGCGCTTACTGACCCATCATGCGACGCCGTTTGGATCGCTGGGCCAACACCGTGCCACTTGGACTGCATTCGACTGGCTGCAAACGCTGGAAAGGTAAGATCTACCGTAATTAAACCAGTACGGTCCCCCGGTGGTGTGGTGGGTAGCCTCGCAGCCTGCTAAGGGCTAGGTCATGGGTTCGAGTCCCGACAGAGCAAGTTTTTTTTCGCTAATTAAATCCTGGCCTCCGTTGGAAGCGATGCGCTGCAAAGCTCGTTGTCAGTAAACTTGGTCGACTTCCTAAGCCACGAGGGAAGGGATTGCTGTACCCTTCTCGCGATAAAAATATCTTAGGCAGGAACCGCAGGAGGGGGTCCAGCCCCCCCCTCCTATGTGACCCCGGTTGCCTCGTCTAGCTGGTAGCAGTGGAGGATAGGGGCCAGAGGGGCAGACGACAGAGTCCAATGATGGGAGAAAAACAAACAAACAAAAACAAAAAACATACGTGCCCGAGCAAGCCAACGCGTCACGCGGCGGCGAATCTTTGCCGTGCATGCATAAGATCTAGCTGGTGTCGAACTTCACCCTTTGTATGCAGACAAAGTATTTCTGTGAGGTAATGTTTATTTTCTAAAAAAGCATTACCATGAGTAGTCTAGGGCTGTTAACGCGCAGGCGTCGCCAAAACGCATCGCCACGCCGAGTTGAGAAAGTCAAGTCCCGAGTTCCTGTAGCTGGTATCGTAGAGAACCGGGATTTAATTCCGGGAGACAACGAACGCATGGCCGGCAGTCTGGATATTTGTTGTATTTTCCGGCGGGATCTGTTTTGTTGACGCGATCAACCCGCTCTCAGTATATAACGCACTTTCTTCGTCCCGACATCATCACTAAAGAAAGAGTGATTGCGTGTCCGTCCTACAGTACAGTACATTCACGATAAATTGCAGCAGTTGCGGCCCGCGAATAAGAAAAATCAATTTGGGGTCGAGGCTCTTTCTTCTTGCTTTCGTGGCCACCTCCGAGCGAATGTCACTACATAGAGATTAATGATAGTGCACGGGTCTCACCAAGTAGCTACTTGGTCTAGTTTTCTCCATTTCGCGAAAACTTCATTGTTTTCTGACTCGCGCGCCTTATTTTTTTTCCTTAAACGATTTCTCGAATCACTCTTCGCCACAGGCAGTGGCTGTCGAGAAGCCCGTGGCGGGTTCGGTGGAGGAAATCGTAAAAGCCCACGCAATCTGTCGCGATAATGACGTCCCGCTCTACTGCTCCTTTCAGAGGTAGGTATTGGGTGGGGTGTTGATTTCAACCTGGCGGGGAGGAGGGTGGTGGGGGCGGGTTTGGGGGGCTCATGAAGCAGCGCGTTGTTGTTCGAGAGGCGTAGGCAAGTCCATAGCGCCCTGATCACTCCGTGTTCCGTGTAGTGCCTTGTAAGTGAGCACAGAGGCTGCACCACCATCTCTTGGCTTCTCTCTGGGGGGGGGTGTACTCATAGTCGTGCATGCCGTAGTCGTTAGACCATTGACCTCGCATCCCTACAAAGCCGGGACGGAGCACGCCGGGTTCTCACCGGACCAGGCTCTCACATCACCAAGCGCGAAGCGCCGTGAGATATTCGGCGAGCCGCATGAAGGGTGCGCTGCATCCTGCTAAGGGTTTTCGGCATCTTGTGCTTACTTCCTTGCATACGGATGACAGCTGCGTATGAATTGAATTTATTTTCTGGTGCTTTCACTTCCAGAGACAGTTGTAAGCACTGTGTAACTGCCTCGAGGGTGCTTGACCATTTTAACACAACGTGGTGCGATCATCCCCCTTGCGCGGAGCGAGGGTTCTCCACCCCGCACAACATGATCTACTCGACCACCATTATGGTTACCGCCAAAAAAAAAAACGGAGGTAAAAAAAAAAAAACGGTAACCTGGTTGCCGAGTTCACGAAGTGAATTGGCTTGTTTTACAACGTCGTTGCCAAGCGACGAAAACCCAACCCCGATGGCAAACACCGGGGGGGAGGCTTGGCTTCTCTCTGGGAACGATATATTCGTGTGTGCCCCGAGCGACACTTCCAGCGATAGATACTGCTGTACGTCCAGAGCGCTTGATACAACAATCGGCACGTACAATATTCTCCCTTTGGTGTCTTGTCCACCTTTGTCCGACCCGACGGGAGACGTCGAGCGAATTTTTTTTCGATGTGTCGAACATGGGGTATGCGGGCGAGCCCAACGCTCGAGGCATCCTTCCCACAGGACATGTGTTTATACAGCTGTCGTCCCCGCGTTATTTAGGACACCACGTTTCTCAAGAGCATCTTGCCTCGCAGAATGAGAAAATGGTGGGTACAATATCATAGACACCTTCTGCCCCGATTTACGGACATCTTTTGAGGGAAACCATTTGAGCGGGGGCGACTGCTGTACTTCGAGAGCATCGTCACGAAAGTTAGTCTCCTCGCAGAGAGTAGAGCCATGCTTTGAGGTCCGACCGAGGACGGAGTGCCGCCACCGCTTACACACACAACAAGCACAGACAGGTTGAGAGGTCCCCGCCGGCTGGCATCTTGAAACGAACACCAGACCAGACATCCACCACCAGAAAGCCTTCCCTCTTGCACACCACGTTGTCACCGCCCACGAGGAGAGCGGACGGTTCCTCCGCCGCGTTGTGATCGGTGATCGATCGCTGCTCATTGCACGGCTTGGTTTCCACGATAGACCCCCGCCCCACCTCCGTTCATCGCAAAAGTTTTTGTTTCCATGATAGACAACCGCCCCGCCGCTCATAGATATGAGCCTGTTGCATCCCCTGAAACTTGTCCCTGCAGGCGAACAGATCGGACGTACGAACAGCTTGCCGCCGCCGTTCGAAAGGGTGCTGTCGGCGCCGTGCGGTCCGTCCACGCCATCTTCAGGGACCACCCGGTGCCGTCCATAGAGTTTTTGAAGCAGGTGCGGTGTGCCTCTAACCCCTCCCCCCCCCCTGTTGTTTTTTTTGGCGGTAACCATTATGGTGGTCGAGTAGATCATGTTGTGCGGGGTGGAGAACCCTCACTCCGCGCAAGGGGGATGATCGCACCACGTTGTGTTTAAATGGTCAAGCACCCTCGAGGCAGTTACGCAGTGCTAACAACTGTCTCAGCAAAAGTGAAAGCACCAGAAAATTAATAAAGTCATACGCAGCTGTCATCCGTACGCAAGGAAGTAAGCACAAGATGCCGAACACCCTTAGCAGGATGCAGCGCACCCTTCATGCGACTCGCCGAATATCTCACGGCGCTTCGCGCTTGGTGATGTGAGAGCCTGGTCCGGTGAGAACCCGGCGTGCTCCGTCCCGGCTTTGTAGGGATGCGAGGTCAATGGTCTAACGACTACGGCATGCACGACTATGAGTACACCTCCCCCCCCCCTGTCGACCTTCTGCTAGACTAGCTATCCCTAGGCATTTGCTTTGTTCGGAAGGTTGCGGTTGCCCCCGCCACGCTGCTGCTACAAGTGCGTGCCGCCGTCACCTACTCTGTGCACAGATCCATTGATTGGCGTCTTTTTGGTGTGGGGCGTGAGGAACCGGCGACGTCGTACCCTTTGCGGTCGCAAAGAGCTACACAAGGCATTGTTTTATGGCCTTATCGCTATCGTCGTCGTCGTCGTTGTCGTCGTCGTCGTCTTCGTTTCCGCGACGATCAACCCGAACGGTAACTCCGGGTCGTCAATCTTCTGACTCCCGCCCCCGCCACCACCGTTGGTACTCTCTACCTGTACGTCTAACCGCCGGTGCTAATATCTACCCTATCCGCCGGCGCTACTGCTGTCGATGCTTGCACAACGTGCCGATGGATCGACTGTCAATTGGTTATGCCTCGTCGAAGGGAGGCGACATCTTCCACGACCTCGCGCCGCACGATTGCGACTTCGTGTGCTTCAGCCTTGGACTTGGAGAGCCGAACGAGGTGCGATGCATTTACCACATTGCCGGCTATTTGTACCTGAAATAGCGGACGCTAGCTGTGCCAAAATCGATGGCCCAGAAGGGAAACGTGTTCGTTGTGCAATTTTGGCGCCCCGCCCTCTGTGTAGCAAAACTCTCACCTCCGCACCTACCTCCCCCCCCCAACTACGCTTCCTATGTAAATCTTTGTCCACTACCAGGTATTCCAGAAGGAAACCCCGTTCCACCGCAAGACTCCGGTTGTAAAAGTCTTTCTGTGAAGAGGACTGCATGTACTCGACAGCCTGGCGCTTCACCAGCACATTTTTCTGCACCGCAGCACAAACACCTCCCGTTGCAACACGTCCCGACCGGCTGCGTGCCTTGGGACCCTCACATTCAGTGTCCTCCGCGGCTCCCGATCGTGGCCCCCCCCCTGCGAACCAAATGGTATAATATACACATAGCGTCGTTTGCGCGCCGTTCATCACCCCGCTAATATTGATGTTTTCTTCACCGGCCAGCCATCTGGTGCGGTCGAAAAGCACGGGCAGTTACAACTGGCTCTTCTCTCTCTCCTCTGTGACGTTTGCGGCAGGTTTACGCCACCGCCCGGTCCTTCCTGCCGCAGCTGGAGGAGGCCGGCGTGAAGGACTCAGCGCACTGCCTCTTCACGTTCCCCTCGGGCGCCGTGTTCACCCTGGAGATGACCCGGTGCAGCGCGTATGGCTACGACAACCGAATCGAGGTCCGAAAGAGGAAAATCGCTGGATAGTATTCTGTTCTTTTCCTTTCGCCGACTGAAAATCCCGCCCGTCCGGTGGCGTGCTGGTCCCACAAGGCTACAGGCAGGCTAGACGTGGCCGCGGCGGTAGTGCAGGGAGGCAATGCTGGCACGCCTTGCGGGAAATGCTTGGTCGCGTGTCGGTGTTGCTGTGTAACGCCAGTCCCCGGGAGGGAGTACTGCGATCGGTGCGGTGATCATGTCGAAACCCGTCCGGAAATCGCGGATGAAGATGATTCGTGCCAAGCATGAACAGGTTCCCTGCCCCTCACAAGCCTCTACAATTAACACTTGCCTCGGCCCGACGTACCATTTTCATGAGAATAGTGGGCTAGACTCGTAAGGAAAGGAGGTCAAGCGTTTTGTCGATGTGTAGATGCACTCAACGCCTTTGAAACCCCATGACACTCATCGATCTTACCTGTTGCGCTCCTGATGAGTTCCTCCCTTCCTTGAGCTTCCACCAATCGGCGTGTCCCGTGTCGGTGTTGCTGCCAAACACATCGGCGAATCGTTCTTGCGCATGCAGGTCATGGGCGAGAAAGGCATGGTGAGCTTAGGGAATCCGCCTAGCTCCGGGCTGGAGTTCTTTGACAGCACGGGGTGCTCGACGTCGCCCCCCGAGCATTCCTTCCCGCAGCGATTCCGTGAGGTAAACACCAGGGCTTTGCACAGAGCGTTTTTTTTCATGGGGCGGAGCGGTTTGAACCGCTCCTCGAGATTTTTAATTGAGAAAAACCGCTCCGCTCCGTGGGAATTTGGCCCTTGGATAAACCGCTCCGCTCCGTGTGATTTTCCAAAAATCTGTACAAGCGGTTTCTTCACGGAGCGGTTTGAGCTACTCCGTCACACAAGCACGGATAAAACCGCAATACAGTCACGGTTTTCCCACGGAGTCACGGCATTTTTTATTTATTTCACAGCAGCCACACAAACATAATAACCGTGCCAACACACACAACAGCAGTCCGCGCCACATCCAAACACACTCCGTAAACATCAGTCCGTGTGCACGTCTGCCCATCTCTGATGGAGTCGACACCCGACCCTGGCGACCGCCCTTCTGGCGACCGCTCTCCTGGCGGTGCTGGTGCTGGTGGTTCTGGTTCTGGTGCTGGTGGTTCTGCTGCCGCTGCTGCAGCAGCAGCAGCGCAACCTGGGGAGCCCCTCTTGAACATGGTGCGTAGCGTCAAGCGCACCGTCATCAACGTAGCAGAGACCATGGTACACCCTGGGAAATTGTCTGGAGTTTGGTCGTTACCAGAAGCTCGACAAGCCGTTGGACAGCGGGAAGAACACGCGATGCATCGTTGCCGGTGAAGACGGCAAGGAATGCGGCCGATTGTACAAGCACGTGACCCGGAACGGCACGCGTCCACTGCTTGACCATCTGCAGAAGAAGCACGTTCCACAGTGCGACTTGGCGATGGCAGCGAGCAACAAATCGACGAAAGCGAAGCAGGCGAAAGGCAAAGTATACGCTACGGCTGCTGCTGCTCGTGGCCAATGTGAGTTGCGCATGTGTGCGCATGTACAACATCAGCACAGTGCGAGCCCCCTCGATTTTTTTTCTTCGATGCTTTCTTTTTTTTCGAGCACAGACTAGTACTGCTGTACGTGCGCAAAGGTACCCATACGCCTCACACATGAACCACACTGCGTTGGTTTAGAGGGCACACAGTTTCTATGTCTTCCCCAGCTGGTATTTGTTGTCTCTTTTCCGCTCGCGTGCATTCCAGTTCAAAAAGTACCAAAAAAAAAAGAAGCGATTGTACTTTTACATGTTTGAAAATTTAAATTCAACTACAGTGGGGGGCCCGGTTGAGCGACCCCAAAATCTCGTGACACCGCTGCACCCCGGTTTAGCGACCACATGGTCGCTATAACGTCGAACCCGCAATAGCGACTTATTGGGCTGTTTTCAGCGGGCAATAGCGACCACCGGTTCAAATTTTGCGCAGACCCCGCGTTCTTCCACACACAAAGACACAAGACCGCGGGACACGTACACACACGCAACATGCCGTGCGCCGATGGAGAGTTGCGCAAACAGCCGGATGTGGAACTGCGGGCACCCCAGGGGCATGCTTGCCATGGTGGCTGCGGTGCACGCCTGCACCTGATGTGTGGGGAGGTGGAGGTTTTCGATGGCATCGAGATGCACCGCCACTGCCACGGGTGTGCATCTAAGAACATGCAGACTTGCCCACCCGTCTCGAATCCACTAAACGAAAAAGAGAAATAGAGATAGATGGGGCTGGAGAAGTTGGCGGTGTGGGGGGTGGGGAAGTGATGGCGCCGCCGCCCTACTCGGAGTTATCGTAGGATTGTGGATCGTTTCAAGAGTGTGAGGAGTCGTGGACTAAGCGAGGCAGCGTACCATCTTGGCAAGGCAAAGATGCTGTTCATCGGAGCACACTCCGCGAAGCCAGCGCGACAGTTGGACATCAGAGACATGTTGAGTTAAACATGATCGGTAACACGATTCAGAAGCAGAATGAAGTCACTAGCAGCGCGAGGTTCTTTGCCACTTGGGCGTTCACGAACTCTCTCCGTGCCATGCAGGGGTGTTTTACTATTTTGTTTTGGGGGACGTTGCCATAACGATTTCCCCTCTATCGCCTTTTTTTTTCAAATTTCGCAGATCGGACTTCTATGTGTGTGTTTTGTGTGTTGATCTATGCACATGTACGGACAGATTGTTCTGCATGCGCATACATAAAAGACAAAGGGCACCCTCTGTACACTTGTTGAGACACCTGCAAACTTCGGAGGGTACAAAAAGCATGCTGGTTGACTAGACTACTCCCCGGTTGTCCACCCTAAGATGCTTCTTCTTTCCTCTACCTTCATGTGACTGCTGCAATACGACGCATACATAACCCGATCAATAATATTTCTGCAACAAGGCCTCTTTAGTCCCACGAGATGGCCCTATTTCCCGGTTAAGCGACCACTAGATGCTATTAAGGGTCCCGGTTTACCGACATGCCCTGAATAGCGACCATATTTCGTCGTGACACTAGGGGTCGCTAAACCGGGGCCCCCACTGTATCGTAAATAATGATAAGCCCCATCGCTTTTCTCCTCGCTCTCTCTCCCCCCCGCCCTCTTTGGTTTGCTCCTGCACTTTCAGCCTTCTTTCCCGGGCAAAAGAAGACCCCCATCACCCCTCAGCTGAAGGAGCGCCTGGACCGCCTTTCGGTGATATGTTGTGTGCAGAGTGGACGGTCATAGACTGCCCGCACAGACCCGTGGCACCTACTGATGCTGGCGGAGTTTGTGCCGGAGTACGCCGCTACGGACACATCACACCAAGTGTTGAAAAAGATCTTGTTGGAAATGTACCAGACGGCGAAGGCTTACCTTGTCGCCCAGCTCAAGGGAGCCTACGAGGAACTGCAGAAGATCGGCTATCACGGGCCGTTCTGCTGTCTATAGCTGGACATCGATTGGCACCGACGAGTTCTGCACAGCCTCGGTGTCGGTGATTCTGTGAGTCGATACTTGTGTATGTATGTTGTTGAGAGCTTGATGTAAGTGAACAACCGCACACCCCTCATGGTTTTTTTCGTGCTTTATTTGTATTTTTGTGATAAATGTTTTTTAGCATTTCCTTTTTACTTTCTTTCAACATCTCGCGGGATGGTACTTCTTCGCGTGTTCGAAAGAGCTTGTTTTTTTTGTGTGTTTCGTCCTATGTGTGATGGCGACAGTCCCCCCATTTTTCGTGGTGATACGTGTACTACACTTTTCAGTGTATTTTTCGTATAAACTACATGTGTTCTATCATGCATGTGTGTATACATGTGCACAAATATACTGTTTTTCTGTGCATGCGTTGGGGAACCTGCGCCAGAAGCTTCGACACACCAGTATATCTCAGTTATTTTTCATTAATGTTTTTCGCTACACAGGTCCAACGACATGTTGCCGAGGCACCTCAACCTTGCGACCAAGGTGTTCCGAGGCCAGTACACAAAACGACCATCAAGACGTGGATCGAACAGGTACGGTTGATGATGTCTGGTTTGCCCATTTCCCCCAAGCGCCCACCCTGTACGATGAGTTCTTGTATACAAAATGACGATTAATGCGAAACACATTTATTCAGCAGTATGCATTCTAGAGAATAGGCTGTGATGATGTAAACGGCTGGATATACATGGCGTCGTCACAATCAACCATTGCCATCCTCCTATCACTTCCCATCCTCCCATAACGCAGTTGACGACTGATGTTTTCGAGTCGATCGTTCCAGCGGTGGACCCGTTGGACGTGTACGTTGCGGCCACGGTCGACCAGGGGCTTAACGTGGTTAACGCCTGCAAGGCCTTGGGCATCCCGACGGACCTGTGCCTGGGCCACCGGATCCACAGCTCGGTGATGTGGGGGATCGGCGTCAACGGCAGCGCCACCACACAGAAGAACAAAAAGGGGAGGGCGCTTGTGGCAAGGTGCGCAGCCTGCGCAGGGATGTTCAGCCATTCTTGCACCAACAGTGACGCCTTTCGCCTCCTGCAGGAGACCAGGAACGCCAAGCAGCGGGAGGAGATGGAGCAAGTTCGTATCGACGCCAGCGCCATCGAAGAAGCAGCTGAAGGGGAGCCACCAGCCGGCTCCAGCGCCGCCACCGAAGGGATCCCGAAAGCACTCAACATCTGCAGGCGCAACGACGCCAGGTGCGATACATTTTTTATTTTTTATCCGTTCGAGGTAAATATGTAGACGAACGTGGTTTTGCGAAATACTACATTCAGTCTCCCTCTCGATATCACTGCTGCTGACGTAGATCGTGTGAGCCTTCGAGTGAAAGTTGTACGTTGAAATCGACTACTGTATTGCAGCTAAACAACAAGTATTGTTTCACCCTTTTACCTCGTAGTTAAGTTGTCGGTGCTGTGTCACACACCACGAAGTTGGTTGCGCGTTGATTGCTGGAAAGCGTGGTGCCAGGGCTGAAAGATACTTCAAATATAATGACTTCTGGATACGTCTCCTACTTTCCGTATCTACACGCTCCCCCGCCCGCTGGCAAACCCTTGTCGTTGTCTTTTCACCGACATATCTACACTTGAGCAGTTGGCTGTCCACGGAGCGGTTCCTGGAGAGACTGTGCGTCCTCGAGGAACCCATCGGCGAATTCCTCGAAGACCGCCAAGCATTGGCTCACCGGGGTCTCTCACGTTCCCGAGTGGGTGGCGACGAAGGAGCTCTGCAGCGTACTGGAGCCGCTGAAGATCGTCACCCACAAAATCCAAGGCGGTGCTGAAGGACTGCTCAGCCGCGCCATCTACCTTGCCCACGACGTCGGCGAAATGCTCCGCGAGGATGCCATCAAGACTATCTACTGGGTCAGCCGGAAGGCCCAGCGGAACGACTCTACTCCCGGCACCATGGTACAGCTCAGTAACCTCTCCGACGTCGCCTACACGGCCGTGAAAGTCATCGTCGAGTAGTTCAAGAAGCGCAACATCGGCACCCCGGTTGAAGACATCGAGTTTCTAGCCCTGTTATTTGACCCGCGAACCAAGGACTTCGGCCCCCGCGCGTGTGGGGGAGAAGAGGGCAAGGAAAAAGCTCTCGCGGCGCTGTCGGCTGTGTCGATCCACTTGATCGACACAGTCGAGGAACATGGCGTCGCCGATGTGCTAGCCCCACCTGCTGTCACCCCGCTGCCCGAAAAACGAGCGAAGGTGGCCGCAAGCGCGTACGAACGGCGTCAGGCGCGGAAGATCCAGGAGGCAGCAGCTGCGCGGACGACTGCGCGTAGAGACCAGCCGTCTTTAACGGATCGCCTGGAGAAGGAGGTCGATGAATACAGCAAGCTACCTGCCGCCGTACCCTCTGAAGGTTATGTCGTCCTCGGTTTCTGGCGGGACGCCCGCAGCCCGCGTCTTGACCCCCACGGAAACGTTGTTTCTGCTGCGCAATTCCCCATCTTGTCCATGCATGCTCGCGTGTACCTTTGCATTGACAGCACTAGTTGCCAGTCAGAGAGGGAGTTTTCGGGGCTGGGATTCGTGTACAATAGTCTTCGGCAGTCGATGCTGCCCGACCGTGTCGAGATGGTGATGTTCCTCAGGTCTACCCCCCATTTTATTCCCGAGATCATGAAGTTGTACATGGAGTTAGGGGAGCTGCTTATAGCGCAGTCTGTTGGGAAGGCTAAAGCTGCATCTGTCCAAGCCGCTCGTGCGGGAGAGCAAGTGGATGTCGATGTTGAATCTGACTGTGTGAAATAGGGGCGTATGTATTTGGATGTTACAAGAAGCCTCGTGTTACCGGAGTGCTAGCACTGGCAAGTTTCCACAACAGGCGAATGAGGAATGATCTGCTGTTGTACGTGTTGCAGGAACGTATGAGTCGAGGAGGTATCGATGCGCGGAACGGGATGTCGGGAACGGTTCCTTTCTGAATAATTGATTAATTGACAGCTGACTTGTTGCTTTTTGCTTTATGGGCTTTTTGGGCTGCTTAGCGGCGAGGACGTATACATACGGTGTCACTGGCGGCCTCCAACCACAGCACACCGTGCGGAAAAATCGGTCTTCGGGGTACCGAACCCAACGTTTTTCACGACATTGCAGGTACTCCGTCGATTTTGTACGGATATCCGTGCGGTTTCCACGTTTTTTTCTGGCGGAAAACCGTGCTCAACGCCACGGTTTCGCGCGGTTGATGCTACAGAGTAAACGAAACCGCTCCGTGAAAAAAAACGCACTGCGGATAAACCGCTCCGCTCCGGTCCGTGACATGAATAAAAAAACCGCTCCGCTCCACGATATTTTCAAATGAAAAAAACCACTCCGCTCCGCTCCGTGGAACTAAAAAAAAAAACGCTCTGCGGAGCGGTTCTACTCCGTGCAAAGCCCTGGTAAACACAAAGCAGTACTCTGTTTTGCGCCTGGATAAGACGACATACAATGACCGGTGGACTTTGCGCGAGTTCATATTTACGGTCTTTTTTGTAGACCTGGTGTAGACTGGGCAAACGTGTTAGTTGCGACCTTTCGCCCTTTCGTTGGGGCTTAACCCTCCCCCAACCTCAAACATGCATTGGTTTTGGAGTTTGCCAAACACATAAACGCGCCAAGTGGGGATAGCTACATACTGAAACCTCACAGGTGATTTGTATTGGAGATTGCCGGACACATAAATGTGTTGAGTGGGGATAGCTGCATACTGAAATCACAGATGGATTGGTTTTTGAGTTTGCCAGACACATAGACGCGTTGAGTGGGGTTAGCTACATACTGAAACCTCACAAGTAGAGTATGTTGGATAGTGCCGGACACATAGACGCTTTGAGTAAGGATGGCTGCATATTGAGACCTAACGGGTTGAGTGACGCCTGCGACTGCCGGACACATGGACGCATTGAGTGAAGAAAGCTGCATACTGAAACCTCACAGGTTGATTTTTGGAGATTGCCGGACACATAGACGCGTTGAGTAAGGATAGCTGTGTACTGAAAATCCACAGTAGCTATAGTGAGGGGACGATTCGAGGATGCAGTACACATGGAACCGACCCCCAACCCGTATCCGACCCCCCCCTGGAAAATAGAGGCCATGCGCCCCCCCCCCCTCTCTACCTCCCCCAGAGGATGAGGAGGGTACAGTCCAAAGTAAGCACAAGCTTACCTAAGGTTAATGCCTATTGGTACGGCATTAAAATAAAT